ATATATATAGATAATTTGGCATGTTCATGATTATGTATATATATATATATATATACTTTAATTATATACTGCATCCACCTGCCTGTAAGCATAAAAGCTGAAATGCATCACTTGATACACCTTGATATAGTGTGCAGTTTGGACAGATCAACATGTACAAATACTTATCTATACGTATCCATACATTGACCACATACTGCACCTACCTACCTGTGAGCTCAGAAACCCGCATCGCAACTCTTCATGCACCAGCCCGGCCGTGAGCTGCTTGACCAGATCAATGTATATCTTGTGGTTGTCGGAGGTGTACATGCTAGTCCCTGTGGCTGAGGTATCGTCATGCTGCCGTGTTACAGTCGACCGTCCCACTGTAGTTACAAAGCACACGTGGAACATCTGGATCTGATTGATGGAGTGGTCCAACTCCGTGTCACCGGCACCTGCTGAACGGTGGGGAGAGGGCTTGTTAGCGATATAGTGCACGTGTTGGTGATCGGACAAACGTGGATCGTAAGTGTACATGTCGTTTGGATGCTATATACCTGCCAGTAGGGGGGGACATGGTGGTTCCAACTTGTTCTGTGGATGGGGGGTTGTTTAAGTGAGTTACTATGGTTAGATCAGAAGGAATGGGCTAGAGGTTTGGTGAGAGAACATCCAGGTTGTAGGCGTAGTGAGTGGGTGTCAGGCTAGGACGCTATCAGTAGTATGAGCAAGTAGATAATAGACTGGCCCTACAATGGACTTTAAATGGGATGATAAAATTCTATCCTTGGCTATTAGCTAGAGACACTACGCAATAGACTTGTTGTCTGCTACTCGTTTAAAATCAAATGTCCGAAAACCTTCAAAACATATCTACTACTTTAAGTAAAAGGGTTTTGTAGCCGTATCAATACGTCAAAGGGCTGCAAACTACTCAAGCAACTGACCCATTCCTAACATCGAGAATACACGAGTCATTTCGTAAGAAATCGAACAACCTTAACTTCTCCTACATCGATATGGAACTATTTATCTTACGGCTACAGAGTAAATACAAATAAGGACATCAAGTTGACTTTATTTATTGCTTGTTATACACGGTTTTACAAACAACATAGCCCTAAGCGATTGAACAGTTAAAAACATATTCTGCCTATATGCTAAATTTAAATGTCGCATGACGACTATCTTATGCGAATGTACCAATATATGTGCGATTATAGACATCAATATATATATATATATATATATTTACATATACATACATACATACATACTTACATACATACATACATACATACATACATACATACATACATACATACATACATACATACATGCATACATACATGTATATTTATACTACGTATATATA